TAATTTTAATGTAAATATATTTACATTAAATATATTTAAAATTTTTTCTTCTTAGAATACATTTTGCCTTTTTAGTTGTCCTCCAAATGTAGCTCAGAAATATCACAATATTCTATATTTGTATGTAAAACTTGCTACTATAAAACCAAAATCGGAATTCCTTGATGTTGCTTAAGCTGGGCCCTGAATATGTCGCTTCAGTTTTCTGTAACAGGGGATTTTCTGATTCTGAACCCCAAGAGGGTGTTTGCAGGAGTACATACAACAGTCTTAAGCTGGTCCTCCTCTGCCTCTGCCCCTTCTAAGTCTTGCTCCACAGCACTCTCTCTCTCTCTCTCTCTCTCTCTCTCTCTCTCTCTCTGTGTGTGTGTGTGTGTGTGTGTGTGAGAGAGAGAGAGAGAGAGGGGGGGGCGACCCCTTGCTACTATCCTTCTCAATCTTTCAGATTGGTGGAAATCCCTTCCCTTTCTTTGTGCCTCTCCAAAGCTCTTTGAGAAAAGCCCTAGGGATTCTTTCCTCCGGGGTTCAGGACTCCCAAACCCCTCTGCCTAAGCTACGCTGGGGACAGTAGCACATGGACTGTTTTGTCCTAGAATGGGGTCACAGGATTAGCAAGTGAGATTACTATCCCAGAGTGAAGAGAGATCTGACCCTCCCTCCAGAGGACAGATGTGTTCTCCAGAGGGCTTGCAGTTATGGCTGATACCAATATAATTTCATTTCAGAGCCAAGGCCCAGTACAGAGACAGGCTTCTTCCTCTCTGAGGTTAAACTTCTGCCTTCCAGAATGTAGAGGGTGGAATGGTAAACATGTAGAGAAAACAACAGAAAAACAAAATGAGCCACTCCGGCATCTGGAATTGTGTTAGAACTCTAGCAAATGGTGCTGTCAAGAGAGGAAAGATGCAAACACAGAAAGCCCATGTAATGCATGGATCTGATTGGATAACACATTTTGTCCAGTCCTTTTGTGATTTGAACTCACTGCCTGTAGTCAACATACACTTGAAGTTTGCCCAGGCTGGATCCCCTCCAACAGCCCTTGACATTCTGTGAGGCTGACCATGGCTGAGTACACAACATTAAATCCCATCTTGGAGGAGAGGAGTTGATGAGTGGCACTGCTTGGGGCATCACCCTACTTCTGGCCTGTCCTTCCCCCGTGAACGCTCTGCTCAAGTCTGTCTAATGATAACATCTAGATGAAGCAGGTGCTGCCTAGCCTAAAATCACCATAAACCCATCACAGGTCATAAGGTCCATAAGACAGAAATGCATTTAAATATATCTGTTGGAGTTTGAATATTAAATAACTCCCCCTAAGGCTCATGTGTATGAACACTTGGTCCTTAACTGATGTCACTCCTTGGGAAAGTTGCAAAACCTTTAGAAGGAAAAAAAATCTTGCTGAAGAAAGTACATCACTAGGGGAGGGCTTTGGACCCCTTGCGGTTCTCGATGTGTTTCTAAGTTTGGATGCAATGTAACCAGCCAGCTGCCTGCTCTTTCACCATGCCGTCCACACCTATGACCATGCCTTCTCAGCCACAATACACTTTAGCCTTTTATCCTTAAGTTGCTTTTGCCACAACATCTTATCACAGCAACTGAAAAGAAACGAATCCAGCACCTAACCTACCAGGCACCGAAGCTCAGTGTATCCTCCCTTACACATTCTGAGAACACCTACATTAGCAGGTAGCTAGAAGAAAGGCATGCAATACCAACCAAGGTGGTTCTCTGATAAAATGTTGGGTGGTCCATGTAACAAAGAATACAGTACTGAAGGTGTGAAGTGCAGGTTGTGTGAGCACAATTTCATACCATTGTGAAGCAAAAAAAAAAAAATCATAACTCAACCCATCATAAATCAAAGGCCCCATTGAATTGTGAAGATTCAATGAAAAAGGTCCCTCATGTCACTATAATGCAATAAGCCATGCATAGTACGTGGTAGCAATTAAAAGACATAAAAGGTAGTTTGGAAACCTGAAAGTGATTTGCAAATATTAGTTTTTATTGCTCTCTTGGCACAAATTGAGAACAATAGTGTGCTTAAAAACAAACAATTAATTTACTTCTCTCTAAATCTCAGGTTGTCTTTTAGAATGCTAAATAGTTATTGCCATGGATGGGATCCATAACCCACTATAATTCATGAGCAGAGAACTGTGTGTGTCTACTTAGATGCACTTTGTGCTTTACTCATCCAGAACAAGAATAGATTAGAAACACCCCCAGAAGGCAGCTCTCAAGCAACTAGCCTTGGAGCACACACAGTCATAACCCATGACCGTGTCTTTAAACAGTGACTGTTTATAGGACACTCAGAAAAGCCCTTTTTTATAATGTTAGAACATCCCGTTGACTAATCCATTATCAGGAATGCTCCAGTGTTGAGTCAGCTGTGACGTCAGCAACAGGCTTTGTGTGGAGGAAACACGCTGATTGGATGCTGGGCAATACAAAAAGAGAAGCCAGGCATGAATGTAACCTTAATGATAGTTCCACCTTCCACCCATAACTTTAGAATGGTAATAACTTAAAATCAGTATGTTGTTTTTTATCCACCTTCCACCCATAACTTTGGAATAGTAATAACTTAAGATCAGTATATTGGAGTTTTTTTTTTTTAATTACTGTAACATAATACCTGACATAAACAACTGTAAAGGAAAGTTTTGTTTTAATTCACAGTTCTGAAGGTTCCATTCCATGTCATTCTGTTCTGTTGCTTTGGCCTTTTTTGAGGTGTACAGGAACACATGGTAGAAGAAGTGTCCAATTCCGTAGTATCAGGCACTGAGAAAGAGCAAGAACCCCCAAGTCCAACAGTCCCCAGCAGGGCCATGTCCCCAGTGGCCTCAGACCTCCTGGTAGACACCACCTCTTGAAGGGTCCACTTCCTTTCTGTAGCCCCAAGCTGGGACTAAACCTGATGCATGGCATCTTGGGGACACGTGCCCAGGCCATAGCAATCAGTATTTTGGGACTTTGAAGCAATGGGCTCAGCCTCTAAGTCCTTCATCAAGCAGTATTTTCAGTACTTTTTAGGGTACCTGGGAATGAACTGGGACAAACACCTTGCAGTGGTCTCAGGGAGACTGACAGGTCAGACTGGCATGCCCATGCTAACTCACCAGGTTTCAGAGCCCAGAGAGCTTCATCAGAGACGAGGTAAAAGAACAGCTGACATTTGAAATGAGAAGATTTAAGAAAGAGAGAAAATCCTGTGTCTTATAAAACAAATGTGTTTCGTATTCTTTTACCCACAGGGATTGCTATTGTCCCAAAATCAATTCAATTTCTGAAGAAACAAAATGTATGGATAACATTAAGCTAAGCGAACAAGACTCTGAGTCACTTAAACACCTTGGTCACTATAAGGGGTAACATATGAATAAAATGTCTCATCCTGGACCATTCTAGACCCTACTCCAGTTCTTAATGCTCTGAACTTGGAGCCATAACTCCAGAACAGAATTATTACTATGTTATCCGATGATCACACTTGGGAAGGCATGCAGAAGTTCATAGTTCAAAAGCAGTATTTACTAAGGTGGTGGCTAGACATCCTCTCCTGCCCTTTTTACTTAGTGACAATTTCCAGGAAATCATAAGATTGTCTCTGGTCACTTAAATACTGGGTGATTAAATTCCATCCCCTCAAAGCCAATATAATCATCAGAATGAAGTTCCAGAGTTAATTCCATTTCCACAGAGTCACTTCTGATTTTTCCTCTCAGAACTGAATTCTCTTTGCTTGAAACACGGATTCTAACTCTGTGGGATGTCCCAGTGGCACCCAGGACCTCACACCTTCTGTTCACTTGACTCCCCATCATCAGTGGCTTAAATAAGAAACTCAGTCTCCCCATTTAAAACTGCAGCCTGGAAAGGTAAATGAGTTTGCTCAAATGATGTAACTCCATCTTGGGAGACCTTAAATAGTCAAGGTCATTTGCAAGGACCACACCAGTACCTTAATAAAACAAAATTGACTAAAATTGGAAGAAGTTCATGGCACTGAGTCCCATATCCAGAAGACATGTACCCTTCTTGGGAAATCTTGGTTTGACTATGAGGGAAGTTGAATAAAAACATCTTACATTACTCTGTTTACTTAACTACCTGACCTTCAACAACTCACTTAATGCAAGAAAGTCTTATCTTAGAGAATAATGAGTATACAGGATCAGCAAATAATGAATATCCACACAGATACTATATAAAGCCTGGAATTCAGAGTGATGTCATCTATAATACCTTAGCGTCTATAATACCTTGGTGTTGTTGGATTGCCCTGCAACTCTAAGTATGGAGCCCACCCCAGTCTTCTCTGTCCCTATCACTTCTTTGATTTCAGGTACAATAGAATAT